CCAGGGTCAAAGGTCTAACATGTCACAATGCCAAGGACAGGCTCTGTCAGGCAGAAATGGCAAAAACATCAGCTAATTTACTTCGAACTTTCCTTGTTCTATGTGGAGAGTCACCTGTTAGGTGGGTTTGCTATGTTTCCTCATTTAGTTAAACAAATAGTTTTAAATGGGCACATTTTAAATGTTACCAGGGCCCAATAATGGTATCAATGTTACTAGGGAACATTAATGTACCAGTGGGTTACTGCTCTGGTATTTTAAAGTTTGCACTACAAAACTTAAGCGTGAGTGAACCTTGTTATTGTATTATTTTTATTCCAGTAATCATAATACTAAGGAAATAGTTCTATAGGAAATAGTCTGCTTAATATAGAGTTGTGTACAATTTTATCATTATTTATTGTGTTCCCTTTTTTTTTTAACACGTTGTATAACAATTTTCTCATATCTGAAAATAGAAATATTTGTTGTTTTATTTTTTTAACATACTGTGAACGGCCCAGCTATAAATTATCAGTCATTAACATAAAATGGTCTGTTTTTAAAACATACATTTCACCAAGTAACTCATGGGATTTCGACACTATCAGTTTTTTCCTATGTGATTTATTTTCTTTCAGTTATACTTCAATATCTTCTCATCATATTATGTTTTTTGTTAAGTTATCCTTTTAATTTGATTATTTACAGGTTATTGAGCAAGTTTATCCCTGAGCTTCCTATGCCAGAGGACTATACATTACAAGAACTGCAGGCCTTGACTAGAGCACATTTGCTGGAGATAGTTTAGCAACAAAATAGTTGAAGTCTTTGAGAGATTTTTTATCACAAATCAACAATGCAGCTATGAAAGTGACCAGATATCTAATCACAGGCCAAATATCCAGCTTTGAAAATGACAAGATATTTAATCACAGATCAAATATGCAGCTATGAAACCTTACAATTCCTCTTCTTGATTTGTTAAAGTCCGCACTGTTTTAAACATAACCATTATTATTATCACTCTAAAGAAGAAAACATTGTGCACCATGGCTAGAATGTTGTTGTTTTTAAAATATTGTTTGTATCTACACGAGATATTGAGCTATTAATCTAATTTACTTGAATTTTTAAAAATTCCAGTAAATTTTAACTTTCTCAGGTATACTAATGATTGTAAGAAGAAGTTTTCTTCAAAGGTTTTTGTTAGCACCAAACAATTTTTTCAGTTGAAATGAACATTGCAAGCAATGTAATTAACTGAAAGCAACCATCTGGACTTTGTGGACACCAACCATGTGAACTTTTTATCTGGTAAATTTTACTAAAATCTTGGAGCTGAACTTATGCCATGACTAGCTGACATTAAAAATACTTCTTATTGGTTGACTCCAGAATTTAAAGAAATTAGTCAAAGTCATTACTGATGATTTAAAGATGATAATTTTTTTTTATATCCCTTTTGAGTTCATGTCATGCTCATCTAAGATGTTTCATAGTTCTTGCTATTGTAAGGCTGATTAATTATTACATGCATTTATTTGTGGTAAAAGTAATCAATGTAAATACATTTTTATAAAGGTAACTTGTAATGCTGTATTTTAGGATGTGTATTGTTACCAGAATTGAATGTTGACTGATTGAAAGTGAATGTTGACTGATTGTTGTGATGAGTGAATTTAAAGCATTGAGTGAGCTTTCAATTTTTAATGAATTTTATCTGTATGAAAATTTAACTCTAATGTTGCTGTGAGCTGGTAAATTTATTAGAATGTCTAACGTCTGTGCATTCATTAAAAAGAAAGAAATAAAAAAATTATTTATTTTTTTTCTGAAATAGTAATATAAGAATTATAGCAATGGAGGAATGAATGACACCTGATAAACAACTGTAATTGCAAAACATTGTCCTTCATAAGCAATTTCACATTTCTCTCTCCTGAATGTTATGAAATGAAAAGAATCTTCATTTGTTTTTACATTGCAACAACACATGTAACTAAATAAATTGATATCATGACACTTAGAGACAAATGTGTCACTTTAACAAACGCCTTAGATGTGTCACTAAAAGACTGAATTAAATTTTCTAATCAAAAGTAATATCATTTTGGCCCACCTGCATTTATTGGAAAAGTACCAAGTCAACTGTCCTCTACTGTTTTAGAAACAATTTGTCTACATCTGCTGTTATTAAAATTAAAAACAAAACAACATTTCTCCTTCCTGCTGGCCTGCTCTCCAGTATTAGAGATCTTAAACTGTTCAAGATTCAATTTACCCCCTCTCAACTCCTTGATCTATAAATTTCATCCATTAAATACCATCAAAGCCCATTTTGGCGCCCCCGCCAGGATGGAACTGTCCCCTTAGCTACGCCTCTGACCACTGGAAATACCCACCTGAAAATCTGAAAACCCCCCCCCCCCCCCCCCCAAAAAAAATCCAGGAGGAAATTGTATGAAAGCAACACTAGTTGCACAATATACCATAATATGTCAAATATTTTTTTCATTCTTTCTTACTTTTATGGCGGCGTTACATAAGTGAGTGTTCTGAAATACATATCTTAACAAATGTTAATAACCCTAGTTGGAAAAGCAACGGAAGGTCACACAAAGGCCTTTCTTTGCAAACTGTATACTTTTGAACAAAATTTAGGTTTTGTTTAGATTTAGTTTTGTAAACTCAAAAAAAATTGCTAAAATTTAATAGATTAAAGGGGGGGGGGGGGGGGGAAAAAAAAAATGGTAAAATATAAAAAAATAAAGGGGGGGGGGGGGGGGGGGGCAATAAAATAGTTTTGGGTAGAGAATTACACTTCCAATAGGAAAAATTTAGCTAGCAATTTGAATAGTCATGGTAAGTCTTTTTTTTATGGGTGTGCCCCTTCCAATGGTATCACAGAAGGAAATTTAAGGAAGTTATTTTTTTAAAGAAAGACTTACTTTCAAAGAGGAGTTTAAACGCACTGGAAAATTGAAAATTAATTTTATTAAAATGCATCACACAAAGAAAGAATGTGTAGAAGGGAAGCAAGGCATTTTATGAATAAACGAATGCGGCGTTTTATACCCCAGCCGTCCTTTGATCAGAGTTTTTTTTTTCCCCAAATACATGTATATTGAAAAGAATAATCAAGGTGCATAACTTTTTGCCTTTTCAAGGGAAATAAGTTTTAATTTGTTAATAATATTTTTTTTTATGTTTTAAAAATATGAGATTATAATGAATTTTTAAATTTTTTAAAACAATTTTAAAAGATTAATAAAATAAATTGTAAAATATTTAATTAAATACACTTAATTATATTAAATATTTTTTAAAATATAAAATTTAAAACGTGCAAATAAAATAAGAAAACCATTAGAAAAACTTATTTATTTTTAAAGCATATATAAACATTTTATCCTCCGCATCTTGTGTACTGTTCACGCAGTACATATACTAAAATTGGAACGATACAGAGAAGATTAGCATGGCCCCTGCGCAAGGATGACACGCAAATTCGTGAAGCGTTCCATATTTTTAAAAAAAATTATTTTATTAAAACTGGACTTATTTTTTCTTCTATGTCCATTCCACAACTAAGATGATTTACGAACTTTCTGTCATTTAGTTTTTTAAGGTTTTGACTTCTGATTCCCAACTGCAAAACTATTTACATTTTAAATAAAATAGGCCTACATTTAAATACGTAGATTGGGGTCCACACATAAATGACGTCACGGGTCTAAGAAAAAAATAGTGGGAAAGGGGTAGGGGGGTCGTCAAGACTTTATGACAATGTGTGTGATAAAAGTGTATTTTTTTATCAATTTGGGACGATTTAGGTAAAAGGGGTATCGGAAATCGGGAAAAATCGACAGGTATTGCCACTTACAACAGTTTTCGTTGATTAACTTGACCTCTTCCATAATTCTCATTAAATAATGTAGGTCTACCAAAAACATACAAGGGATGATAATACGTATCGCTATTAATTGCATTTATTTCGGTAATTAAATTTAGCATTTACCCAACTGAATATTACATTTCTCATCAAACTTAAAGCAAGCATGAAGAATTACCATCAATCTGCCTGCATCCCCCATTTTTATACAATAATTATAATACAATCTAATTTTTTTTTTTTTTTTTTTTTATCTTTGTTTACTTGTGATTTTTTTGTCTGCACTGTGACCCTTCTTTTATTTCTTTGCCATTTTTCTCTTTTTTTTGTTGGGGGGAAGTGGACTAACG